AACTTTCTAGAAATGAAATTGAACCTGTACCTCACTGATCGCGGCATATTACACAGCATAACTTGGTGATTTTGTTGAGAAAACGAGTAAAATACTTACCGTCGCTAACGTTGCTTTTGGAGGCAGCCATGTTGTGTACGCCCTCAACATCAAAGTATGTTCAAAGCTTGAGTTCTCGATGTCAAAACTAGCGGATTTCATTCCTGCAGCTAAGCTTTTCCTGACCAAGCTATGCTGCATGGTGTCAAAGCTGTGATTTTCATTAAAAAGCTACACTTTCATTGGTACCCCTGATCTTCCTTTTATCATAGCTTACTAAGAGAGCCTAGGCAACACGTTCTCAAGGCCAAAATTGATAATATTTAAAGGCATCTCTGCAAACTTGTTGGGCACCTAGATAATTGTATTTGATGACTGTGAAGTACTGGTATCAGTACTCAGTACATGCTAGTTTTCATTACAGATCAAACCATGTTGATGAGTGAATATTTTTGAAAATCACTTTCTATCGCTGCTGAGCAACCACATATTTTCTACAATTCTTATCAGGTCTTACATTCATTTAATATTAATCTAGAATAATAAAAAAAGAAATATCAAGTTGAAACCTCTGTCACCTAATTATTGGTGCGAACTGTAACCGTTGGAGGTAACCAGATAATGTTAAGAGAAAACCAGCGAAATATATGGCTTATACCATCTTGAGATGCTCTAAACTTAAATTATAAGTCTTGTATAGCTGCAAATACAAAGCATCCCGGTAAAAATACTGAGTAGGGTATATAATAGAATAGTGTTTTTTTAATACAGTAAATTTGTTTTTTAGTTAATATGTTAAAGGTTTGTCATAACTGTATTTACTGAAAATACATAAAATTGAATGAGCATTTTATAATGAGTTCTCTGTGTTTCTATGCACATTATGGTGTCTTTGATTAATGTAATGTTTTGGTTGCTCATTATTTGTGTGAATTTTTCATGGTTGGTCATATCTAGGAATTTGTCAACATATGTATTGGTTGTTGTGTTTCTTTGTTTCTTTGAGTTTCTTTGTCATTAGCATATGACATATGGCATATGTTAAATTTTTTATAGTTTTTATTCTGCAATGGGATTTTAAGTCTTTGTTGTCATCAAATCTTACAAATAACCCTATTGCTTTGCTGTCATCAAGTTTTTGTAAATAAGTTTCTTGTTGAATGTTTTTTTTTGAATAGTTCAAAAATCCTTTATTCTCGCTTGTAATTAATTTTCGCTATTTTCGCTGAAGGAATGATTCAGTGAAAATAAAATCCAGCGAATATACCTTTTTCGACTCCCGTGTGCGAAGCACAAAAAGGGAGTCTTTGCAGTTAGTGTGTCTGTATGGGTGTGTGTGGGTGTGTGTGTGTGTGTGTGTGTGTGTGTGTGTGTGCGTGCGTGTGCATGCACGCGTGCGTGCGTGCGTGCCTGCGTGCGTGCGTCCGTCCGTCCATCCGTCTATTCCACTGATATCTCAGGAACCATACATCAGTTTTTGATGAAACTTGGTGCATAGATGCTCTGGGCCAATGCGCAGATTTGATTAGGTTTTGGTAAAAATCCATGCATATTAATTACCTAATTTGCATGATAATTAGCTGATTTTTAGCTGTTCCATGACTGTTCCACTGATATCTAAAGAACCACTCATTGGATTTTGATGAAACTTGGCACACAGATGCTCCAAACTAATGTGCAGATTAGTTTTGGGTAAAAAATCTGTGCAATATTAATTTGCATAATGATTAATCAATTTTCGGCTTTTCCACTGATATCTCAAGTACTAATCATCACATTTCAATAAAACTTGGTACATAGATGTCATAGGACACTGCACAGACCTGATAGTTTTTAGGGTAATATGAGTACATATTAATTACCTAATTTGCATAATTAATGAATTTTCAGCTTTTGATATTTCAAGTAGTAATCATCACATTTCAATGACACTTGGTACATAGATGTCATAGGACACTGCACAAACCTGATAGTTTTTAGGGTAATATCAGTATATATATGAATTAGCTAATTTGCATAATTATTTAATTTTCAGCTTTTGATATTTCAAGTAATCATCATCACATTTCAATGACACTTGGTACATAGATGTCATAGGACACTGCACAGACCTGATAGTTGTTAGGGTAATACGAGTACATATTAATTACCTAATTAGCATAATTAATTAATTTTCAGCTTTTAACATTTCAAGTAGTAATCATCACATTTCAATGAAATTTGGTACATAGATGTCATAGGACACTGCACAGACCTGATAGTTTTTAGGGTAATATCAGCATATATTAATTAGCTAATTTGCATAATTAATTAATTTTCAGCTTTTGATATTTCAAGTAGTAAGGGATTGTTCAGTTACTTCAGCCTAGGGGGGATCGGCAGATTCCATTTTGCCAGCTGTAAATTTCAGTTGACCCACCCCCTATCAAATAAAAAAAGTGGGTGACCCCCCCAACATTATATTTCAAAACTTAAAACATGCTGACCCCCCTAAAAAAAACAAAGAAACATTTACAGTTTTGGCTCTGACATGATTACATAATGTATTATATGTGCATTGAAAATATCATGGTTTGCCATAATTTTGACATTATTTTTAGCGTTTGCATTTAATAGACCTTAGGAGGGAAGGGGAAGCATAAAGCCAAAAAATGACTACAGAAAAAGCTGCAGGAAGAGGATTTGAATCTAGGCGGTTTGAACTCTTTGAAAACTAAGTTGGATTTAAAATATCTTTCATATCTTATAGACTAGGAAAGCTTTACACCCGAAGCACAATCTGTGCTCATGAAAACAAAGGAAACTTTGATTTTTGCTTAAATTTGTGTTGGATTTTGCTATTTTACAGAGCAAAATATGCATATTTAAAAGTTAAAAAAACAAAAAAAAACTATTTATTTATTTTTTCATCATTTATTTTTAGTCCCCGTTCGGACGAAGTCCGAAAACGGGGACTTATAATTCGGTCTCCGTGCGTCCGTGCGTCCGTCCGGAGTCATATCTCAGAATCCCTTGGACCGATTCCGTTCATTCTTTGCATGTGCCTAGTACTTTATGTGGGACATATGCACATGCAGTGGTTTAGCGATTCGATTTAAAATGGCCGACTGGCAGCCATCTTGTTTTTTGAAAATGTTGTATTTTGGACATGCTTTGCCAATTTTCATTCAAACTTGGTACATAGATTATACATGTTAGGATACATGTCCATGATGATTTATTTCACAATTGGATCAAAGATGGCCGACTGGTAGCCATCTTGTTTT